TTGATGAAAAATTGATCCATCTGACCGACTGGCCAAGGGGCTCAAGACTGAATTATTTTGGTCCAAGTTGGACAGGCTCCAAGCATAGAGCTTGGGTGCGCTCTTCTGAGGCAAATGATCGAGGTAGGGTTGTAGCCAGACGGGAGCCATCTTGGGAGCGCTCCGTAGGGTCGACGAGGGACGGTGCTTGGACCGAAGGCCGTGGCCGACCGTTGAGAGAATGCCAGGTGAAGGGCGTTTGATCATGGCCGAGAACAACAAATATAATTGCCGGCGTAGTTGTATACGAAGTTTTCTTTCTGATAGACGCAACAGGTTTGGATGTAAGGTAGTTGAATCCCAGCAATGACAAGATGAATAGAGAGGTGCGCACGGAGTACCCTTGTAGGAGCTCCTTCATGGCACCAGAACGCCGCATTAGTCAGGTGTGGCTGCCCTTCCCATCCTCATTGTGGCTGCAAAAGAGCCTCCGGCCAGCAAGTGCTTATCTAATATAAGTCCGCATGCCGATGGGATTGGAAGCCTGGGACTGACAAATCCTACCAATCAAATTCGTCACCAAGTTTTCCCATTAAGATCCCTGTTCAGAGCAGCTGACTGCGCGAACCGTTCGCTCCTGCCTTGCCGTGGCGTCATCGTTTTCCAGAGAGAATCGCTGGTGAACGCTCAAGCCTGACGCGCTGCTGCCTGTCCTGAATCTTTGCCTTACAATCTCACCGGAGTGAGTCACTTTTACAACACACACGATTATCCTCACGACGGTTTCTTGGAATCCAGATCTTGCATGTCGCTCACTTAGCTTGGTACCTACAGGCATGTCCGCCACCTGAGCTCATATCCATTCTCAACTTCACTTACGTTCCCATTTTTCAACCACCGACACTGCTGTTTGTCTGTTGCGCAACTCGCTGATCAAAACCGGCCTCATCAAAGATCTTGGGGCTCGCAATCTGGAATATCGGGCATGGGTTTATGAAAACTCTCCGTCATCGGATCTCAAGATGTCGTCCGACAAAGAAGATGGCGGCATAGTTGCCGAGAAGATAAGTGAGGAAAGCGCACCCTCTAGCACTGAAGCAGATGCACCCAGAACCACAGCAGTTCAGTTTGAGGGAGACGAGGCGGCATTTTTGCGGACTATCACAGCCGATATCCGGGATCAAGATGATTTAGAGCGCGATATCACAACACAGGCCAACGCCGCCTTGATTGAGGCAGAAGACAAGAAGGATAAGCAGCGCATTGAAAAGCTGGAAACCACTAAAGATAAACTTGAGGCAAAAAGAGTAGATCAACGGAAGAAGCTGGAAGGAGCTCGACGTAACCCTTATCAGTCACGGATCATACAGAAGGAGCTCGATAAGCTGGACTTAGAGATTGAGAATGCCATCAACGACATCTCGGACTGCCAAGCTCGCATCGATAAGAGACAGGAAGATATTTCGATTGTGGAGGATCCTGTCAAAAGCAAGTCTAAACGCTTGGCCGGCGAGTCGCACCGAGAATACCTCGTCCGGACCGGAAAGATCACGCCCTTTGCCAACATTGGTGGCGAACGACCCGATGGTTTCGAAGGCGAGCTAGCAGATGTTCTTGTCGAGGCCGAGCAAGACGCGGCTGCGGAGGAATACCAGAGCGACGATGAAGAGCCAAAGTCTCATCAAGTATTGCGCATGCCAGGCTTTGCTGAACATCCAGAAGCAGCTCCGGCATTCGTTGAGACCGAGTTTTCTCTACGACCAAGAAAAAAACGCAAGATGGATGAAGGAGCATCGTCCGATGAATTCGATGCATCGACTGTGAGTTCGGCTGAAAGCCAGTACGCTTCGGACACTAGTGAGGAAGAAGCCACAGGTCGCAAGCGGAAGAAGGGCACAAATACAGATAAGAAGAACAAGCATAAGAAGGCTGCGGAGAATACAGTCACCGTTGGTAATACAAAGGTCGACCTGAGCAGCGTCGACGATGGAAATGAGGCGATCTACCAAGCACGCCTTGCTGATTGGGTCAGGAGACGGAGTGCAGCTCGTCAACAGCAAAGTGCCAATGCTGCTGGCGACGCCTCAATTGAAGATAATGGCGAGGAGGAATGGTTTAAACCCTCGCCTGATCAGCCTGACCACGAATTCGGTAACGGGCTGAGGCTCCCGGGAGACATTCATGCGTCGCTGTTCGCGTATCAAAAGACCGGCGTTCATTGGCTCGCTGAGCTTTATGAGCAAGGCGTAGGCGGCATCATCGGGGACGAGATGGGCCTTGGAAAGACAGGTAAGAAGTTTTGGTAACAGATGAACGCAATCTTACTAATAAGCTTAACAGTGCAAGCAATTGCTTTCGTTGCGGCGTTACACTACACCAAGAAGCTCGACAAGCCCGTCATAGTAGTCGTCCCCGCGACTGTCATGCAGCAGTGGGTTAATGAATTCCACCGATGGTGGCCCCCTCTGAGAGTGTCAATTTTACACTCGTCTGGTAGCGGCATGGTCAATGTGGCTGAGGATGATGACGATGAAGATTATCCTGGAGATAGGACGAATCGTGACGCCGCAGAGCGTATCGTCAGGCGCGTTGCCAAGCATGGACACGTTCTGGTCACCACGTACGCTGGCTTGAACACCTATGGCGAGCAACTGCTGTCCCTGGAATGGGGCTACGCCATCCTCGACGAGGGCCACAGGATTCGCACCCCTAATGCAAATGTCACATATCAAGCCAAGTGTCTCAACACACCACACCGCCTGATCCTGTCGGGTACGCCAATCCAGAATAACCTCACCGAGCTGTGGTCTTTATTCGATTTCATTTTCCCTATGCGACTAGGGACTCTGGTCAACTTCAGACAACAGTTTGAGATTCCTATCAAGATGGGTGGGCACGCGAATGCGACTAATCTTGCGGTCATGACTGCTGAAAAATGCGCGACGACTTTAAAGGAAACCATTAGCCAATACCTGCTTCAGCGGCTCAAGGTCGACGTGGCATCAGACCTGCCGGAAAAGACGGAACAGGTGCTGTTCTGCAAGCTAACGCCGGAACAAAATGAGGAGTACGTCAGGTTCATTCATTCGGATGCGGTCTCTCAAATCATGGCCAAAAAGCGTCAATCACTCTACGGAATCGATATCCTGCGGAAGATCTGCAACCATCCGGATCTTGTTAGTGTGAACAGGAAGAACCAACCAGGATACGATTGGGGAAGCCCCAGAAGATCTGGCAAGTTGCAAATGGTTGGCGACCTGCTTCCGATGTGGAAGAAGTTTGGGCACAAAACGCTGCTATTCTCCCAGACCAAAATCATGCTCAACATCATCCAGGACTATATCGGCAAGATGGAGGGAATGAACTACCTACGCATGGATGGAGACGTTACTATCGAGAAGAGACAAATTCTGATCGACAAGTTCAACAACGATCCCTCCATTGACGTGTTCCTGTTGACGACTAAAGTGGGCGGCTTAGGTGTAAACCTCACCGGAGCGACCAGGATCATCATCTACGACCCTGACTGGAATCCGTCAACTGACTTGCAAGCGCGAGAGAGAGCCTGGCGACTCGGCCAGACAAAGCCAGTCGCCATTTACCGGCTAATGACTTCGGGCACTATCGAGGAGAAGATTTACCACCGCCAGATCTTCAAGCAATTTATGACGAACAAAGTCCTCAAAGACCCGAAGCAGCGGGCCAACTTCGATCTCTCTGACCTTTATGACCTCTTTAGCTTTGGCGACAATAGCCATAGTATGGCCAGCGCCAACAGAAGCAAGGTCTTTGAGGGCGCGGAGGTCAAGTTCAACCAGTCAGAGGGCCACAATCAGCTGGAGAAGCCGTCAAAGAACGCCGTTCCCATCTCCTCCGTCAAGGCAGAAGACGAAGTCGACACGGTCCGCAAGCTTTCCGGCGTCGCTGCAATGGAAGAGTTCACGGAGCCTACAGATGACAGCGAGGAGAAGCGCATTACCGAGAATCTGTTTTCTCGAACTGTGGATAGCGCCTACGAGCATGACCAAATCATGAATGGTAAGAAGAAGGTGCAGGCTGACCAGGCCATGAATCGACACGAAGCGAACAAGATAGCGGCCCAGGCTGCCGCCCATTTGCGACGAGCTGGAGAGGCTGCGCGCCGCATCCCCATCGGAACTGTCACCTGGACTGGCGAGATAGGCGAGGGAGGCCGACCTACTGCATCGCGACGCCGCGGAGTGAATTCTTCGGCGGTCATGTCTTCCCTTGCGGATCGTCAGGGGCTCAGCCAGCCGGCCAACGGCTCCAGTTCACGGGGCAATACTCCAGGTACGGACAAGCTCTTGAAGGAGAAGGATTTCATACCCCTGATCCAGACTTTCATGAGACGTCAAGGAGGCAAGGCAGTGACTAAGATGCTGGTTGATCACTTCAATCCGTATTGCAAGACTCCAAAGCAGACGGACGACTTCAAGAGTGCGTTGGACAGGGTAGCCGTCCTGGGGAAGACGGGTGGCACGGGTAGGGGTACTTGGACGCTAAAGCCTGCTTTCAAGTAGTGGCTGAACAGTCCCAGTTTCCCTTGGGCGACTTGAGGGCAATCACGTAAATATTGAAGGTCAGGAGAATGGCGTTTCGGGCTGGCGTGGTCGCTTTCAGCCTTATACCGCGGCATAGATCCGCGAAGACATATCGAAACGACATCTCAGGCTTTCATATAATCAAGATTTGAGAACAGTGAAGCAGTGATGTAGACTACTCGGTGATTCACATATCACATCACAGCATCGCATTATGTGCACAAGTTTGTCGAGGGTTCAGGAGCTACTCTTCAGTTCAGGCCATATATGGCGAGTTTCTATTCTGTCTACGATAGATACTGTCGCCCGCAGCAGAAGGCATGTCACAGTGCGTAGAGGTAGAGTGGGGACCAGGCTAAGGCGCCGTTCCCCGCGTTTTTCGCGATGCCACCAAGAAACCAAATAATGAGCGCTCCTGTCCCACGGAAGCCACCCAGGTAATAATGTAAAACCGGGCGCTCAGAGACGACGACCGCGGCGACCACCCTTTCTGCGGGTAGAGTCGGAGGGCGTGGGGGTGACGTCCTCAATGCGGCCGATCTTCATGCCGGAACGGGCCAGGGCACGGAGAGCAGACTGGGCACCGGGACCGGGGGTCTTGGTGCCGTTACCTGAAGATTTTAATCAGCTCGACGGCTCATGAGGGACTGTTGGAGGGTTCAAGAACTTACCACCGGTGGCACGGATCTTGATGTGGAGGGCAGTGATGCCGAGCTCCTTGCAGCGGGTAGCGACGTCCTGAGCAGCCAACATGGCGGCGTAGGGGGAGGACTCGTCACGGTCGGCCTTGACCTTCATACCGCCAGTGACACGGCAGATGGTCTCACGGCCGCTGGAATCACCCAGTTAGCCATCTTGCACCATCACGGGTATTGATATAGTCTTCATGTTCGCCAGCGAGGGAGGGGTATTCCGGAACTCGCAGGCAGAACGTTGGATGGTGAGACCTACGAAAGATCGGTGACGTGGACGAAGGTGTCGTTGAAGGAGGCGAAGATACGGGCAACGCCGAAGACGAGCTCGCCTGAAGATCGCGGGGTAGTTAGCAAAATTGCTTCATTTTGACATTTTGCGGTCGGCGCATGCGGTTTGAACGCGCGACGTCACAATCCATTGGGACGCAGGCAAAAACTCACCCTCACGGACCTGGGGACCCAAGGAGATGTTCTCCTGGGCGGGACGGACGGTCTTGGACTTGGGAGGCATCGTGACTGCTGTGTTTGACGAATTGTCTTTCGGTGGTGGTTAGTCGGAGTGGTTGGCAAAGGGAAGCTCTCTCGATCCGTCGCTCGCAATAATCCCAAACGAAATTTCACAAAGCCCAGCCCTGCACACACGAACAAAAGAAGTGGGCGAGAATGCCCTGACGGGGGTCGGGCGGTTGGCGGCGGCAGAACGACCTAGATTGGCTTAGCCGTTCGAGAAACCCTACCTAAGCGAGAAAAAATGAGGGCGGTGAGAATTTCAATTTGCTGGTGGTGGCCCATGCACCAGCCCCAGCGGAGCCTGCGAAATTTTGGGTAAAACTTCTGCGATCCCGCGGCCTTTTTCCTTTTCCCTCTTCCTTCTGATCCAGCGACCAATTTTCGACGACAACCGCCGACGACAACCAAACCCGCCTTCACAATGGCCGCCACCACGTATGTACACCAATGCTCTTGAGAAGCAGCGGCAGCATTTTCCCTTCGTTCCGTTTGCGATGTCTTGCAGATTGTCGTGGTCCTCTCGCTGGAGTCCTTGCTTCACCTCGTCGTGAATGCCTGGCTCTCAGCTCGAACCCTCCTGGGCAACCTCCCTCCTTCCTTCATGACCTGGAATATGGCTTGCGGATTGAGAGACGGTGCTCGGGGTGTTGGGGATGAACGGTGACCCGTTCTCCCTTAAAAACATTGCCGCTTGTCGGATTCTCTCCACAGTGCTGAAAGGCTTGCTCGGAGACCCATACACATGCGAGCACATATTCTTGAACACTTTGCTGTGCTTCGAGGTGTTGTCGGATGAGCACAGTGCCACAGTAATTGCTCCCTTGGAGCTCCTGCTACCCCATGGTCTGCTCACCGATCAAAGTCATGAACTTCGAGTTAGCCACAGCGAGAATGTCGCGTTTCAGCTACAATTCTCGCACCGGCGCTCTACCCATGCTGCTTGCAGTATGTCGGACTGCGTACTAATCTGATTTGCTACAGTTCCGTCCCCACCTCCAACCAGGTTCTGGTTCCGGAGACCCTTCTCAAGAAGCGCAAGTCTCAGGAGAAGGCTCGCGCTGAGCGCAACTCGGCCACCGAGAAGCGCAAGGCTGTAAGTATACCTCTGTTTTCACTACCTACCCCTTCCCCCGCCTTCATGATGCATAACATACCTTTCACAACTAGACTACGGTCGATGCAGTTGGAATTAACCTTCTTTCGGGTCTGACACTTGCCGGATCATTCACATCTTCAATGCATATCTGATCCAAGAAACACATTGCTAACATGTTTCCCAAAGGCCAACAAGGAGAAGCGTGGTGTCATCTTCAAGCGTGCTGAGAAGTACGTCAAGGAGTACCGCGACGCAGAGCGCGAGAAGGTCCGCCTCTCCCGCGTTGCCCGCGAGAACGACTCCGCCTACGTTCCCGCTGAGGCCAACCTGATCTTCCTTATCCGCATCAAGGGTATCAACAAGATCGCCCCCAAGCCCCGCAAGATCCTCCAGCTTCTTCGTCTCCTCCAGATCAACAACGGAGTCTTCATCAAGATCACCAAGGCCACCACCGAGATGATCAAGATCATCGAGCCGTGGGTTGCCTACGGTTACCCCAACCTCAAGTCCGTCAAGGAGCTCGTCTACAAGCGCGGTTACGGAAAGGTCAACAAGCAGCGCGTCGCTCTCACCGACAACTCCATCATTGAGGAGAACCTCGGCAAGTACGGCATTGTCTGCATGGAGGATCTCATCCACGAGATCTACACCGTCGGCCCCAACTTCAAGCAGGCCTCCAACTTCCTCTGGCCCTTCAAGCTCTCCAACCCCACTGGTGGCTTCCGCCCCCGCAAGTTCAAGCACTTCATCGAGGGTGGTGACCTTGGCAACCGCGAGGAGAAGATCAACGCCCTCATCCGCCAGATGAACTAAACTGGTCGTTTGTACGGCTTCATGATCAACAAAAATGGGGATTTGGCAGGGTTTGTCTAGTTACTCGGGACTTCGGCAGGTTTGAGAATACCAAGGGTTTATTACATGATTGGCACGGTTGCACGGCGTTGATAACCACAAAAGGGAATTTGTGAATTGATCATTTGACGACCACTGGATTCTCCATCCTCCTTGTTCAACGGGTAGCAATGCGAGCCTCTTCAGAGATTTGTATGTGTGTACTGTGCATGTGTGACTGTCGTGATGTATCACGGCATTCAATGTCTTGATCCAGGAGGAGGGTTCGTACGCATTACATTAATATTGTACAAGTGGATGCCGAGCGCCCACTGGACTCGTCCCTTGTAGAGCCATGCTGAGTCATCTTCAGATCTTGATGTCGAAGCTGGTCCCACATCCACAGCTGCTTGACGCATACGGGTTGTCCGTGATCTTGAACTGGGACCCAATAAGCTCCATCGTAAAGTCCACCTTGCTTCCCTTCAGCAAATCCAGCGAAGGCTCGTCAATCACCACCTTTGGTCCCTCAAACGTTACGGTGGTGGGATCGGCATCTTCTGGTAGGTATTGGAACACGGTATCGTCCTCCCCAACGACCTTAGACCAGTCATCTGCGCTCTCGCCCTCGGGTAGGGTAACTAGGCTCATGAGGTACTGGAAGCCGTGGCAGCCTCCGCTCTCGACTTGTATCCTCAGGGCTAGGTTTGGGTTATTGTCCTTCTTCATGATAGTTGCTAGACGCTATTGACGCAGAGAGAAGCTGTTAGGTTTCGGAAACTCCTTTGTTCGATGCTCGGGTACACGTAAGCTACACATACCTTGCCTGCTCGATCTGTGATATCGAGCTTCATCTCTTGCCCTTCCTCATCTGTCTTCGGGTTCCAGGCGCATCTCGTCTGCCTCCTCGTCGCGGAGGCCGTGAGGGCTCGGGTCTGCTGTCGCACCGTCCTCCCAGCAAAGCGCTGGGGCATCATCCTCCTAGAAACACCCTGGGTGCAGTATTGTCGGGTTGTGCCGAAGCCGGCCTTGCTAGTGGTGGTAGTGGTCGTGGTCGTGGCGGGCTTCCATCTCGGGACAAGTACCGAAAGGATCGGTGCCGGGGAGTTCGACGTCGATGTTGTACGGCGCGCAAGCTGCACGAAGATATTTGCACTCGAGGGGCTATGGATACACCGAAGAGATGCCATTTTGAGCTGCCTTGTGGCGATGCTGAGGTCGTGACAGTGGGTATTCGTTGAACGGGGGGCGGCAGTTGAAGAAAATTGAAGATGCTAATGTTCGGTAATAAGGTAATAGCTTATGATGTAAAAGGTGGTGGGCGGTAGGTGGCGGCAGTTGATTGTTTGCCGCATTAGTCAGCCCGGGGGGGGGGGTCGATGGTTTTTACCCAATGGTAGTAGACGGATTTCAACTCCACGACTATAATCTTCAATGACGCTTCATTATTTCTCTCCTTGGACGAATTCCATATCGTTGCAGTAGTCTTTTTCATTTGCGTTAGTCAGAAGGATTTCTTGCCTCTTAACTGTCTTTGCAGATGAGCCTATGGCTAAGGTGTTCAAGCTCGGTTCGGTCATCGCTGTTGTCGGAGCCGGCCCCTCGGGCCTGTGGAGACCATCGGAGGCTGCAGCTGCAATCGCCGAGGTTTCGGGACGGCCCCGGGACTTTGAGATTGGAACTCAGGAGGCAAGCCTCTATCGTTTGACCGATCTCAAGTTCTTGTAAAATGAGTGGTTTTTTTTTTTTTTTTTTTTTTTTTTTTTTTTTTTTTTTTTTTTTTTTTTTTTTTTTTTTTTTTTTTTTTTTTTTTTTTTTTTTTTTTGGCTCGACACGTTCTGCAATCTGCGCCTTTGAATGGCCATATGACCAGATGCTGGACGGGCTGGACGTGACGGTTTCCCTTACGTTGTGTACTAAATTTAACGCCCTATATTGATAGGGTTCAACTTGTGTTCCTCCTCACAGTACTCGATACTTGCCCCAACCTTGTACCTACCTACTGACGTAGCACGTTAGTTCATCCATTGAAGGAATCGATCTTTCATAGTGAACCCTAAACAGGTGATAACATGGTCGCTAGACACTAAGGTACCTTACGCACGAAACGTTGCATTTCAGCTTCGATCAAAGCTTCCAGGTCTCTGCTTCTTACTATCAAACTCGCCCGTCAAAGGAAGCTACAGTTTATCATCTTGGGGATCCGGATGATTTCGGATGAGACGCAGAACAAGCAAAGCAGGCGATTCACTTTCTGGCGACTTGAAGTCGGGCAGTCGAGACATCAATGACACAAAGCTATGGCAAGAGGCACCAATGATCCTGGACAAGTCTGGTACCACAATCCTCGATTCTCATAAGGAATGTCAGGGCCGCCCTTTCCGTTCTGCCCCTTCTTACTACATACACCTGCACATAGCTTCTGATTGCGGATTGCACCTTCTGATCTGAATTTCCCAACCCCCGGCGAAGGTACCCCTGACTATTTCTATGCATCTGAGAACTGTGGACGGTGCATCGTCCAAATGGTTCTTCAACTTCAACCACACGACCACCCTAAGACCTTTTCTCAAGAATAACTTAGACTCTACCTAAAGATACCTACTGATTACTTCCATTCTCAATGTCATTCGTGATTCACAAACTGGGCCTTGCCGACAATTTCAAGCCAACGCGACACAGAGCGGCAAGACCCCATTTCGGTCGAGGCGGAATCCAAGTCCCAAATCCTGGAGGCACGGCAGACATGTCGAGCTTCATGAAACACGCGAGAGACGTCGCCGCTGGCAAGGGTCTGCAAAACGACCAGACAGTTTCTCCTGAACAGCCGCCACACACGCCTCAGGTTACACCCCTAGAAGTCCTCTGTCTCGCCATTGCCATCTTCGTTCTTGCGTGTATCCTCGGTTTCATTGTCCTGATTGGTATCAAAACTAGGCGCTCCCGCGCACAACATGAGGCCAATAGCTTTCCGAAGAGCAATGGTGGGGAGAGATGGGACGCACACGACACAACACAGGTTTTCATCAACGGCGTCCAGCGACGGAGCGACTCGGTGGCGGGACAAGAGAGAAACGAGTTGAGTCTCCTCGAGAGGGACGATACGGCATCCCTTGCACCAAAGCACATCTTCAGGCCTTGGAGAGACCCCGCTAATGAGCGTACCAGCGGGATCGGAAAGTTCGACGGCACATCGACGGGGCTTTCCAACGACACATCCCGGGAATTAGAACAGCACTCCATGGCCGACACTCAAGGGTCGGTTGGTTCGAACGCTGAATGTTTACCCGCACATTGTGGCCGTAGACCATCGAGGCGCTTCGACGAGCAGGGTGTGAACGGGGGTTCAGGACCAACGCCCCATCCGTAGCAGCTGGGCGGTAGCACTCAAGCAAGACAGGACAGGACAGTCAAGAATGGACAGACAAATAAAATGACTCTATTCCCTCGCTCGTCCCCGCCTTAACCTAGTATACCGGCTCCTCGGGGTGATCGCACAAGGGCCCGCCGGCTTCTGACTCCCTAGCGAGCTTCACGTGCGTGTTGCGTAGTATGTTTGTACAGCTGTATTTCGATCCGGATCGCGTCGTCTATCGATTCGACGGTCGTGGCATCTTATGCCTGCTTCCTGATCTCTCTGGCGGCCTGCTTCAGGCTGGAGTTGCACTCCTCGTATGCGCGTCCGGCTCCGAAACCGACGCCGACGAAGGCGGGCCACGCTCTGCGCTTGAAAAGGAGGACCGAGAAGACGACACCGAAGCCAAGACCAAGAGTAGACTTGACGAGGAGGTTGGACAGGCAGTGGTCCCACTAGAAGATGGTCAGGGATCTCGGGTTATCGACGTTGGTAACGGCTTGGGGGAGCTACCTTCTCGTTGAGAAGTGCCTCACTGACAGGGCGCGCGACGGCGCTCGGGGGAGGGGGAACAGAGGTGTCTGACATGGTCGTCGATACCCTAAGGAGCTGATCGTCAGTGTCAATGGATCAAACGAATAGCTGGGGAGCGGTGCCTACACAATTGACTCGGTGCGCAATGGTGTTGTCGAGGTCGGAGCTTAGCTATGGAATTGAACCAAGTGATGTTTTCGGAGAGAGCCGGCAAATTGATGATGAACACCCGAGGGCGGTAAGTCTCGGTGTAAGTCTCGGTGACCTCTTTGGATTAGGTGGGGCGGCAGAATCCCGAAATTTTGGGAATGCTCCAGCCAAAAATCGCGGGGAGTCGATGCGACTTACACCTGAGCGCACTCAAAAGATCTGCACGTCTTTTGAAGTCCCTCGTGGTTGGTTGCCTATCATGGACGTGGAAATGACTGATGCAAGCCCAAGCAGGTCTTCTGAGACCATTGTAAGTTATTCAGTCATATTTAACTCCATCCTTGTCTACTAACCGCTGTTGAAGACGTCGGACAGGGACTTGGTCAAGACAGTGCGATCTCTCGACCAGACGGGCCCTGGAGCCAATGGCGAGAACCTCGACCGAGTATGGAAGCAGCTCACATCTGCCAGCCAGGGGCCCTTCTCTGCCGCTGAGGAGAGTGTCCTCCGATGGCTTCTCAAAGTCATGAAAGCGAACAACGACGAAGCCGACACGATCCGACGATTTCCCTTGACATGGCGCATTCTCGACTGCGCATTCCAAAGGATTCCTCTCTTTTCACTCGCAAAGTCCCTCGCCGACCGAAAGTTCATGGCGGTTCTTCAACAAACTCTCAAGAGCGTCGCGAAGCCGAGCACCGAAGCCCAGGCCTCTGGTTCTACATCGAAGAAGAGGAAGAGGAACAATGCCGCAGTCTTTGAGCTGAAGACGCTGCAGTCTTTCGAGGGCTGTCTAGGCACGGGGGAGGCCATCTTTGGCGCATTGAAGAACCTGCTTGAACGACTGGACCCGGCGGCACAATGGTCCGCCCACGACAGGATGGGAGCAGAACATATCAAGGCGCTCTTCGCCCAGCCTGCGACCGAGGCTGTAGAGTTACTT